GAAGAAGTGGAAGAAAAGAAGGAACTTTTTTTTTTGGAAAGAAAAGAAGAAAAAAGAAATAAGTTAAAAAAAATGAACTAGAAGATAGAAAATCAATATGGAATATTTCACGTAAGTCACTTGGTTCAATCATTGAACGATCGTATCAGAAAATACGAAAAAGAAAAGAATGAAAATGATATTTGATCGAGATGAAAAATAATCGAACGCAGCAAAATCCAAAATTTTATTTCAAAGGATTAGGATAATATGTGAAAAAAAAGAACTAGAAATAGGAGGGAGAGGGGGAGAGGAAAAAATTGTTCATAGTAATCGATTAAAGAATCTAATGAAAATTGGCACGATTTAATGCATATTATGAGTGTCTTGAAATATTTATAAAAAAAAAAAAAATAAATAGAAACAAAAACAACAATAAAAAATGATAATGAAAACAAGAAAAGATTCGATAAAATGTCAAGAATGTTAACAAATTCGTTTAATTTTAGTTACGATTTTTTTTTGTCTCTTCTATCATAAAATTACAGCGTGTAGATGTACATAATCCCTTTGGAACGTAATACAATTTTAATCAACGATATCTGCATGTACATGCATATATGTACGTAGTTCACGTATATCACACATAAACGTAACTTTTACATACATACTCAAAAAATCTAATTTGAAAAATATTTTCATATCCTCTATTTTTTTGTGTTTTTTCAATTTTCTACAAAAGAAACTTCATGAAAATTTCAATACGTTCTTTCCCTTTTATCTTAAGAAAAAAAAATAAAAAATAAAAAAATAGAAAAAAACATTAAAGGTGATATAACGAAGTGTTTGTCTAATAACGACTATGAACAACACTAAAAAAATACAAAAAAATAAAAAACAAATGTACGAGAAACAATTGAGACAAAATTATTTGTCGACAATTTCAATTATTTATTCGTCATAATATATTTCCATCTTTCTCTCTCTCTCTCTCTCTCTCTCTGTTTATTTCTCTCTTTTTATCATAAATATTGCATAGTAGTTACTTATTCGTAAGGTAAAACGATTTTAATCAACGTTATTATAAAACGAGTTTCCCAATTCACATCCTCAATGTTGAATATTAAGAATTCTTACCTCTTACCCCCTATCATGTTTTTCAGAATCCGTCGTAGGAAGAAAACTTAATCAAAATTTTTAACTTTCCCGTTAAAAATGATCCTACCAACCTTCTCTTTATATATTCTCTCTTATACTCTTTTCCCTCCCCTAACCATTCCCTCTCTCTCTCTCTCTCTCTCTCTTTCTTTCTTTCTCTCCCAAGTTCTCTTGATCGAACTCAAAAAGGAATATAACGAAGCGTGCTCTCGGTATAGGAGGATATTGCGTTAGAAAAAAGCAAAATGAAAAAAGAAGTAAAAAAAATGGAAAAATAGGAAGAGGAAGTGAAAAGAAAAGACGTTTAGGGAAAGAGGGCTGGAGGGATCCGAGAATGAGAAAAAAAGAAGGAAAGAAATAAGGGTGAAAGGTGTGGAAGGGGGAGGAAGTGGGTGGTTGGAAGATGGTAAAGAAAGTCTTGCAAAAAACGTAACGTCGTAGAGGACGTTAAGAAGCTCGCCTTTAAAACCTCGCGGCAATTTTCTTTCGAGGGAAAAAGGACCGACGAACCTCACCTAGGCCCTTAATCCTCACCTCCGAACTACCTTCTCCCTCCCTCCTACTCCTTCCACCGAACCCAGACTCGACCCCGTTCCACTTTCTTCTTCGCTGATGCGAGCAGCGAACGTCGTGCCCAAGTCACACATCCACACACACACACACACACACACACACACACACACATATATATATATATATATACAAATACATATCCAGAACACTCACACACACACACACACACACACACACACACACACACACACAGATGCAAATACACATACGGTTTTTTCTTTTTTTTTTTTTTAGGATAAGATTGAAGGTGCGAGGAAAAGTGAGTTTTTTTTCTTTTTTTCTTTTTTTTCGGAAGAACCGAGGAGTGAAGGGACTACGAGCCCTTAAGGGACGACGGACGAATCGTTTCATCGCCGAAATCCTCTTTTCTTACTCGCGTCAGTCAAACACTCGGCTTCTTTATCGCATCACGTATTTTCTTTACTTCCTTCCTTCCTTTTTTCTTTCTTTTTTTTTGGTTTGTTTGCCCTTTTTTTTAAGAGAAAAGAAGGTATCTATTCCTAGTTAGATATCCAAGGCTATTTTATTTGTCATCGATTTGTTTTAAGGAATGATTTTTATTTGATCTGTATCATTTTTTTTCAACATATTCGATCACAATGACTAAAATAATATATTAATATTTGATATTATTTATCAGTATTACATTGATTAGTATGAATTTCATTAGTATTTTAAATGAAATATTAGTATGTATTTTATTATCAATATATACATGTATATGTAATCCTGACGTAACACACTGTATCTATTTAAAATTACTAACAACAAATTATTATTCATATCTTATGAATTATTTATCTATACATTGATCATTTATTTTAACGTTTATAACATTTCATTACTATCTTTTTAGATATTGTTTCATTCGTTCGATATTAATTATTATCTAATTGAAAATCTTTACATATGTCAAACGATGATAATAATAGTTTAATATGTACCATTCTATATAATATAATTTTATTAAACTAATAATATATTTAATAAAATATAATAATAACAATAATAATAATAATAATATCGTAATAATAATTGGATTAAATTTCGTGTACGCGAAGTATCTTTTCTGAATTTCAATATAAACCGTCAATCGATGATAATAACAATAATAATAATAATAATAATAATAATAATGAAAGAGAAAGAGAGAGAAAGAAAGAGAGAGAGAGAGAGAGAGAGAAAGAAAGAGATGGGTAAGAAATTAATTTGAAATATTTAATATCTCTTTTTCATATTCTCGTTCACATTTTTCTCATCTACCCTCCTCTCCCACACCCCTAATACCAATTGTGTATAAAACGGGCATTACGCCTGAAGATGTTCATTTCTGAGAAAAGAAAAAGATCAGAATTCGCGTTAGAAAAGTAAAAGTAGGTCGAAACTGTTCGTCACTCGACCAGCTGGAAGATTGCCCGAGGCTGCAGGAAGCATCTTTTTCCCCACTTAAGATTCCTCAGCATCCCGCGCGCGTTCGATCTGACTCTGAGATTTAACTTACACTTAACAACCTATCTAGTTGTCGTGTCGATTATAACGAACTAACATAAATTATTAACCATCACTTCCCTTTTCCTTCATCCAAACGAAAACACGCTCTTACATTTTCAACCTTGTATTACAAATCAATGTAAAAAGAAAATAAAGAATAATTTTTTGTCTTTTTTCTTCTCATCTTTTTTTGCCTTTTAATGGAAATTATTTTTGATTAAGAAAAATGTGATAATGATAAAATATAAATTAATTTTGTTACGAAATAAAATATTGACAGATTGCATAGTACCAATTTATATCTGCTGCAATATTTTTGGAGGGCTTTTTTTTTCCTTTCACTACATTTATTTGATCAGTATATATATTTTTTATTAATATTAATAATATATTATATTACGTAAAATAAATGGTCACTATAGGTATATAGATATTTGATCATAAATATTGATTACTTTTTTGTTTGTTTATCAAAATAAATTATATTACATTTACAATTATGTCCATTAAGGTATTAATCGTTTATTTCTTTTTTTCTTTGTTTTTTTGGAAATATTTAAAATGGTTGCTCTTACTTTATATGTACATAAACTTTATATGAATTTTCTTTAATTACATTAATTTAAATTTAATCAAAATTAATCGTGTAAGAAAAATATTACCCTACATAAAAATAAAAAAGAAATAGAAAAATAGAAAAAAAGTTAGAAGAAAATAAAATTCAAAATTCCATTACACTAACTTTCTTTTTTACCAAAATAGATTTTATTATTAGAATATTTCCATTAAAATATTAATCGTTTTTTCTTTTTTTTTTTTGAAATATTTAACAAGTTTGCCTTTTAACATATATATATATATATATATATATATATACGTAATTTTATATGAATTTTCTTTAATTACATTAATTTAAATATACTCAAAATTAATCGTGTAAAAAAAATATTACCCAACATAAAAATAACTAAAAAGTTAGAAGAAAATAAATGTCAAAATTCCATTACACTATTTTTTTTTGTTTAACAAAATATATTGTAATATTACATTTACAAATATGTCCATTAAGGTATTAATCGTTTTTTCTTTCCTTTTTTTTTTGGAAATATTAAAAAAGGTTACTCTTATTTTATATAAGTATAAAATTTATACGAAAATGTTCTTTTATTACATTTATTTAAATATAATCAAAATTAATCGTATAAAAAAGAATATTATCCACCATAAAAATAACCAAAAAGAAAGAAGAAGATAAAAGTCAAAGTTCTGTTACAATAAAGGATTCGTTTTTTTTTCTTTTTTCTGGTTTCTACTAAACGAAATAAAAAAAAAAATAAAAAAAAAATAATAAAAATAGAAGATAACAAATAGAAACAAATAGAAGAAAAAAATTCCTTCTCCTTTAACGTTCATTCTATGAAAAGAAAGAACACATTTACTTAGCTTCTTTTTTCGAGGGCCCTTTTTGATTGTAGAAAAAGGGAAATAATAAAAAAAAAAGAAAAGTAGAAGATAAAGCAGAAGAAGAAGAAGAAGAAGAAGAAGAAGAAGAAGAAGAAGAAGAAGAAGGAAAAATAGAAAAGTCATGCCAGACGTCGAACAAACGAACCAGACGACTGCGGGTCGACGTTCTTCTCGTCAAAAAAACGAGAACGCAAATGACGAATGAAAAAAAATAAGAGAGAACACTCTCTCTCTCTCACACACACACATACTTTTTCTTCCATTTTGCCCCCTTCTTATTTCTATAATATTTTTCATTAAATTCTCTATTACTCGTAAAAGAATTTTATTCTTACCTCATACGGTCGGTGTTCCTCCCACACCCCCACCCTTTCCCATGTTGCTCCAATTTGGTAGAACATCATTTTTTTCTTCCCTAGGTAGGATGAAAAGCAACGGGGACGATAGAAAAGTAGAAAGAAAAAAAAAGAAAAAACAAAAAGTAAAGGAAGAAGAAGTTGAAATAAAAGGTAAATGGAATCTTTTATTTTTCTTCTTCCAAGATTTTGTTGTTGCAAAATAGATGAGATCAAAGATCGCGAACGATCTTTTATTTTGTCCATTTAATTTCATTCTTGTAATCGTCACGATTCAAATTTAAATTGATATAATTGGTATCACCAATCGTCGTATCACAAATCTTCGATACATTTTTTTGATTACAACATTTTGGCAAATTAATGTCGTTGAAAAAATATACGAGTCTTTTTTTGTCTTCTTCCATTTTTTTTTTCATCTTTTTCTTTTTCGTTTTCTTTTCTTCGTCGTACTTCAATGTTAGTTCATTTTTAAGGATATCACAAATTCGTACGATCAATTTATCCTTAAGTTGAAATAAATTCTAAACAGAAAAACAAAATGATAAACGATTTATATCGAATGATAATATTCTTCGATTTTTTTGTTTATTTATTTATTTTTGTTATTTTTTTTCCCCTTGTATATTTATTCCTTCCATTCTTTCTTTCTTAAATCCAAGTAAATCTTTTACATCAGCACACAATCCAAGAAGGTATCTTCCTACTGCAAATCGTAAACTTCGAACGACCGATATAGTTATAGGTAATACTTTATCGCTTCGACTTTTCTATTTTTTTTTTTTTGAAATACCTTAACGTCACACTACCACCACCACCACCATCACCACCATCACCATCGTCCTTCCCTTCAAGTTTCAACAAATTTATCACTGTTCATGTAATATCACCCCGGGAACACTTTTTAACAATGCAATAATAAAAAAAAAATACAAAGAGGAAAAGAAAAATTATCGAAGATTATTCATATCGAACAACAACTATGATGATAGCGTTTGTTTTTTCTATATTTTTCTTCTTCTTCTTCTTCTTCTTCTTCTTCTTCTAATTTTTTTCTTTACAATTTACACTCTTCCCATTCGTAAAGACGAAAACATTAACTTTGATAAAAGTTTCTTACGGTTAATGGAGAAAGTCAACGATGTTCTTTCCTTTTCTAATTTACGCGAAACGAACGTTTATCGTTTAACCTAAGATGAGAACAAGAAAAAGAGGAAGATGTAAAAAAGTAAGCAATGAAAAGAACGAAAGAACGAAAGAAATAAAGAAACGTTAATAAGTTTCTTATTTTACGGTATGAATAAATATTACGAGGGTTTTTCTCTGTTTTTTTCTTTTTTTTTCGAGAAACTATGGAAAATCTTTTTAAATTAAAAAAAAAAAAAAGCATGGCAAACGTATTTAAAAAAAAAAAAGAGAAAAAACTAGAGCCAATTAAAATTGTATCGATTAAAAGTAATTCGAAATTTTAAAAAAAAAAAAAAAAAAATTTTTTCTTGATTGCCGATTTTTACAGAAAAAAAAAAATAAAACTAATGTAAATATAAAAAAAGATCACAAAATAATTGTCAAATTAAAAAGATCTTTTTGTTGTATATTAAACTTAACGACAACGATTAAATGATTAAGTTTAATAATTAAATTAAAAAAAAAAATAAAATAATATTATTGATTATAATTTTTGTCGAATTTAATGTACGATTGGAATAACATTAAAAAAGATATGAAATAAAAAATAAAAAAAATAAAACATCGTACGTTTGATATGTTTAAAAAAAAATATGTTAAATTTAGTTGTATTATTTATAATATATTTGCTTTTTTCAATTCTTCTGAAATAAATAAGGAATGTCGAAAACAAGAAATGAAGGTCGGAAGTGAAAAAGTAGAAAAAGAATTTTTGAATAAAAGGATCATATATAAAAAAATAAAACTAGGAATTTATATGCATACACAGCTATACATACATATATGTATATATATATATATATAGTCTCTATCTCTAAAGTCATTTATTTCGATATCCACGAACATCGTTTTAGCAAGGCGACTACTGCTTTCCGATAACGAAATATCCTACTACGAGAAAGAAACGATGAAGTTAAATAAAAATCGGAAGTACTGACGTCCTAGACAGTTCGAAGAAGTTCACCTTTTTATTACACAATTTTCTACAAAGAACTTACAAGCATTTTCCTTATTCTTTTCCTTGTGTTTCTATTTTTTTTTTTTTTTTTATTACTTTCTCTTCTTTTTCTTCAAAAGAGAGAGAGACAGAGAAAGAAAGAGAATAAAATTAAATTCTTTTTTTATTCTCTTACAACGACGATAAAACTTTTTCATAATATACTTCATTATTCAATGAATGAAATATTTCGAATAAGTTAAAACCCTTTTTTTTTCGAAAGTCTTCTTCATAAAAATTATACCAACAATATTAATTCAATTGGAAGAAGATATACTTTATGTCTGTCTTAAATTGTATTTTTTTAATATTTAAAAAAAATAATAATTGGATGTTTTAATTATAATAATCAATATGTGTATTCTAATATTATAATTGTAACATTAACTCGTAAAAAAAATAAAGAATTTTGAAGATTTATTCAATTTGATAAAAATAAACTTGCTTCCTTTCTTTTGCTTTTTTTCTTTCTTCATTTTTGTTAAATTTGAAGAAAAACAAGAAAATAAGTAGTCCATTTTAAAATTACAATCACTACGTGCATTCTAATATTATATTGTAATTCAACTCGTAAAATGATAAAGAATTCTTAAGTTTGATTTAATTTGTTAAAGATATATACATAAACACATGCACACACACTTTCTTTATCTTTCTTTCCTTATTTTTGTTTAATTTTAAGAAAAAGAAGAAAATTAGTAGTACGATTTAAAATAACAATCACTACATGCTATCTAATATGATAATTCAACTCGTAAAAAAAAAGTAAAGAATTTTGAAGATTTATTCACTTTGTTAAAGATATATATGATTTGCTTCTTTCTTTTTGTTTAATTTTAAGATAAAGAATAAAATAAGTAGTACGTTTTAAAATAACAACCTCTACGTATATCTTAATATTATAATTGTAACATCAACTCGTAAAAAAGTACAGAATTTTGAAGATTTATTCAATTTAATAAAGAAACACACACTTTCTGTCTTTATTTTTGTTAAATCTTAAGATAAAGAAGAAAATAAGTAGTACGTTTTAAAATAATAATCATTACATATACTCCAACATTAATGTTGGTTGAAACATCAGCTCCTAAGAAAAGAAAAAGGATTTTGAAAATTGATTCACTATATTAAAGATGCACACGCATTCTTTCTCTTGCTTTCATTCTTTCTTTATTTTTGTTAAATTTGAAGAAAAAAAAGAAAATAAGTAGTACGATTTAAAATAACAACCACTACGTATATCTTAATATTATAATTGTAACATCAACTCGTAAAAAAGTACAGAATTTTGAAGATTTATTTAATTTAATAAAGAAACACATACTTTTTGTCTTTATTTTTGTTAAATCTTAAGATAAAGAAGAAAATAAGTAGTACGTTTTAAAATAATAATCATTACACATACTCCAACATTAATGTTGGTTGTAACATCAGCTCCTAAGAAAAGAAAAAGAATTTTGAAGATTGATTCACTTTGTTAAAGATTCACACGCATTCTTTCTCTTGCTTTCTTTCTGTCTTTATTTTTGTTAAATTTGAAGAAAAAGAAGAAAATAAGTAGTACGTTTTAAAATAATAATCATTACATATACTCTAACATTATAGTTGTAACATCAACTCGCAAGAAAGGTAAAGGTGTTTCAAGTGGACTTGAGTAAAGTAGAAGAGGGGTATACTCGTGGTATAGAAGTGATCTAGAGAAGGAAACTAAAAGGGGATAAACGTGGAAGAGAGTAAAAAGAGAGAAAAAGAGAAGTAAAGAAACAAAAAAAGAGAAAAAGAAAGATAAAAAAGTAAAAAGAGAAAAAGAGAGTTAGTAATAAACGATAGGTGATAGATTTTTCAAGCTGACGTTAGCAATCCTAAGTGAAGAAGGATCGACCTCCAAGAGTTTAGGAGAAACGTGCTAACGAGTGCTATACTTTGGAAAAAGATGTTTTGCCAGTAGTAATGAACCTTTCTAGCCAGACGAAAGAAAATTCATTAAATGTAAACATTGTAAGAGATCAAAGGGAAAAACAAATTTCAAAATTTACATTTTAATTTTCTACTACCTCTGACTGAACTCAAAATACATGATTTAACAAAGAAACGAACCTGCATTATTATTATTATTATTATTTTTCTTTTTTTAATGATATAGATATACATGATATTACGTATATATAACTATCTTTCATTTATTCTCTTTACTGAAATTGGATATAGAATTATATTAAATTAATTTAAATTAAATATTTGAATAACTTAGCATAAGTTATTATTATTAATAAACTCTATATTGTCTATAAATTTATGTGGGTGTAAGTTTTAATATAATTTCTTATCTTTTTTATTTATATAAATTTTCTTAGATTTTTACTTACAAATATACATACACATATATATTTATGAATATTTTATTTTAAAAGTAAAAAATATTCAAAGTAATAACACATATATATTCGTTTTATTTTTGATATTTAACCAAGCGAAAAAAACTTGGACGAGAATATAAAAAACGAGTGAGTAAAATAATCGATAAAATTAAAAGAGTTTTAAAAAATTCGAGTAGTATATTAATAAGATCGATCGATCGTATCAGAGAATTTACAAGACGGTAGGAGCTTACCTTTCTACCAATCAACCAAACAACTAACCTACACCCACATGATTATAATGGTAAAGGATATACGTTGTATGTAAAATGTTATAAGAAATGTGATATGATTAGACGAGGAAGTAGCGGGTAAAGGAAGTGGATAAGCCGTGGGAGTTGTGGGGACGGTTGCAAGGTGCAAGAGAGGTCGTTGTCCTCGAAAAGCCGCACCACTGGCTTGCCACCCACAAAACTTCCCATTTACTCGCCATTAATCCTTTCTGATTCTTCTTCTTCTTTTTTTTCTTTTTTTCTTTTTTTCTGGTTTGTTTTATATGAATAAATATAGCGGAAAAGAAAAAAAGAGAGAGAAATATTATACATAAAAGTATGCTCGTACGATACGTTAAATGATTCATCAAATATTCTTAACAAATGTTTCAAACATTTTCAGAAAATATTATTTGTGTATATTATCGAATGAGAAGGATTGTTAAACACTAAAGATGATTGAAATTTAAAGATACATAATATTTAATTACATACAAAATAATTAATATACAAATTTGATAAATAATTTTTTCTAACTAAATTATTTTAACGAATTGTATTAGAATAATAATCGTCTAGTTTTCATTTGAAATTTGAATATTATTAAACGAAAAAAACACTGTCAAATGATCGTAGAAACTCGAGAAAGAACAAACAAGATAAGACAGTTGAGGTTATTGTCCTCGTTCATTGTGCGTAGCTTATGTATCGTTTTGTAATAGTATAAGTAAACTCGTAAAGCTAGGAAGCTTC